CCACCTGGGGACATGTTGGCATTCAAGTGCCAGGCTGCCACTGGGACCATAACGATCTGGGTGACCTGTAATGCCAGCTAGGGCCATGATGACATCAGGGTTGCAGCCAGGGATCATGTCTGGGTCCATAGTCCTACTCCACCCCGGGTCTGTGTTGATGTCTGTGGCCCATGTTGTCACCAAAGGCCGAATGAATGCTTAGGATCTGAGTCAACCTGTGGCCACGTTGGTGTCTGAGGGCTGTGCCACTGCCGGGGCCATACAAACCTGAGTGACATGGTGTCATCTGGGTCTGTGACCCTGCCGTAGCCTCAGGAGCCTCAGTCTGTGTTGATGTCTGTGGCTCCTGTTGCCACTGAAGACAGCGAGGTTAGGGCTGCACATAGTTGGCTCTGGCCCTCAGTGATTGCCACAATGGGGAGAACTGGCCCCACAGCATTAGGGAGAGCTAGCTCCACGATCTGTCTATCATACTGGGGTGTGGGCAAGAGAGAGATGCCCGCCCTCGTGATCCCCCGCAGGCAGGAAAGCTGGTCCGGGAGTCATGAGGATGAGAGAGCTGCCCCTGCCCCTCACTGGCTGCAGCACTCAGGAGAGCCGGCCTTGCACCTCTCCTGGTCCGTACAGGTGATCTGCGCCCCCCCAACCCCCGCAAATGGACTGGGAAATCTGGCTCCACCCCTCATCTGCCATATGGTGGAGTCGGCTAGGGAGAGATGAACCTCCTCCATCCTCTGTTCCTCAACGCCTGTGGCTGGTGGGAGAGCTGGCCTTGAGGTCATGAGAGTGGGAGAGCTGGCCCCGCGCCTCACCATCTGGAGCACTGAGGAGAGACTACCCTGCACCTCACCTGGGCAAAATGGTAGAGCTGGCTCTGGTTGTGTGGATGCAAGGTGACCTGGTCTCCAAGGATGTGAGAGCAGGAGAAACGCCCACCTTCCTGCTGCGGCTGCAGTGTGTGAGCGAGCCAAGGCAGTGCTGACGAGCTCCCCCTGGTGGTGACGATGAGGGAAAGCTAGAAAGCTGAACAACCCAGCTACCATCCGGTCCCAGAACCAGGGCTATGTGTTGGCCCACCCAACATCCACCTTATCTATGATCTGCTGGAGCAGGTGAAGGAGCTGGACCTGCAGATCCAAAGCTGCAGGATCTCCATAACACAAGGTAACCACAGGATTTCCAAGATGAGTTCCAGTGAGGGCCTAGTATGGAGGATGTAGCAGAAGCCGGAGGCCTTGAACCAGACCAATGACTCATTGGCATGAACACAGTGAAGATATATGGACTAAAGGGTATACTCTGTGACTCACAGTGTCACACCACAGCTCCCGTGCCAAGACTTTTTTGTTTCTTTTTTTCTTTTCTTTGTTTGTTTTTCTTTTAAATTTTTATTTTGGGGGGAGATTGCAAGGGCAGCCTTACAGAGTAGCAGGTTTTGTACATCATTAGCTTTGGTTAATCCTTGCCCGCCCTTCTCTCCCTTCACCTCTATCTTGCTTAAGCCTTCACCCTCATGACCTCGCTGTTGCTATGGTTTCCCACATAAGACCTGAGCAGGCCTAGCCAACACTACCAGTCCGGCAGGCAGCACTTACAGGATTCAGTGGGGTCAACAAAAAGGGAGGGCATGAAGTTGAGAGGAAGGCGTATTGGAGGTTTGGGGGGAGTAGGAAGGGGAATTGGAGGTGAGTAAGGCCAAGATATACTGTAAACATGTACAAGACTGTCGAAGAATAGACAAAGATGTCCTAAACTTTAGAGACCGACATTCCATTACATGTGTAATGGTAATCCATTATCGTTTTAATTTGTATTTAATGAAAAATTATATTTAAGTTTTAAGATTTGCAAGATAAAGTGCCATATGCCTTTAATCTCAGCATTCAAGAGGCAAAGGCAGGTGGATTTCTGTGAGTTCCAGGATAGTCTGGTCTATATATCTAGCTCAGGGAGCGCCAGGGCTACATAGTGAGACCTTGTCCCTCCAAAAGAGAAATTTATTTATTTTTTATTTACTTATCTTTATTTCTTGTGTGTGTGTGTGTGTGTGTGTGTGTGTGTGTGTGTGCAGTGCTCATGGAGGCCAGAAGGGGGGTCGGATCTCTTTGAGGTGGAGTTACAGGAGGTTCTGAGCCACCTTATGTGGGTGCTAAGACTGAATTTGGGTCGTCTGCATGAGCAGCAGGGACTCTGAACTGCTGAGCTATCTCTCCAGCCCAATATTGATTCCTTTCTCACACACTTGTTTCCAACCTGCACGTCTTCTGTAGATGTGCAGCTGTTCACATCTTTAGGAAATGTGGGAGGTTGTCTGCTTTCTTATGGCTAAATGTTTTGTCTATATCACACGCAGTTCTCTGTTGTATAAGAGGTTTGGAAATATTTTTTCTAGTTTGTAGCTTGTATGCTTATTCCTTCATCTATGTCTTCCAAAAAACACCAGAATTTTAAAATTTAATAAATTGCAAACTTTGTATTTGTTATGCTTCTTAGTGTTCATGTGAAAAGTTGCCAATACAAAGTCACCGAGAATTTCCTACAAGTGTTGTGTTTGGCAGTTAGTTTTTTTACATTTACGTGTGTGTGTGTGTGTGTGTGTGTGTGTGTGTGTGTGTGTGTGTGTGTGTGTGTGATGGATTCACATGTGTGGGGGTTGCTCACAACCCTGCACACATGTAGAAGCCAGAAGAGGACATCAGGTGTCCTTCTTGGTCACTTTATGCTTTATTCTCTTTAAAGAGGGCTGTGTCTCACTGACCCTGGAGCTAGGCTGATCACCACCAAGTCACAGCAATCCCTCGGCCTTGTCCTCAAGATCTCAGGCATTATAGACAGGTGTGGGAGCACCTGGCCTTCTATATGGGTGTCGGGAACCCCAGTTCAGGTCCTGATACTCAAGCTGAAAGTGCTTTACACCCACTGAGCTTTCTCCCCTGCCCAGACATATTTATGTATTTGTGTACATGTATGTATGTGCACATGCATTCTTTTAATTAAACTTCATTGTCAAAATCACACAGGGCATTCTCATACACCCTATACACTTCTGTTTTCTTGAAATGTCTATGGAGACTTGATACTATTTCTGCCTTAAATATTTGGGAGAATTTACCTGTAAGACCATTTTAACATTGATTATTAATTCAATTTATTTAGTAGATGCAAGGTTAAACAAGGTTAATTAATTCTTTTTCCATTTCAGCTTTGTTACTTGTCTCTCAAGAAATTATCCCATTCCCTTTATGTTATACAAGTTGAGGGAACACAGTGATCCATTCCCTTTTACTACTATTTGTGTGTGTGTGTGTGTGTGTGTGTGTGTGTGTGTGTGTGTGTGTGCACTTGCAATCACAGTCTCCAGTGGTGAAACCCTTCATTAACTGAGAGACATTTCTGACTTATTTTACATGCTTTCACCTGTCAGGTTCATCATTATTGCAGGTAACTGATTTTTTTTCCCTTTTTTTCCTAGGGTAAATAATGTTTCACTGTGTGTGTGTGTGTGTATATGTGTGTGTGTGTGTGTGTGTGTGTGTGTGTGTGTGTGTGTGTGTGTGTGTGTTTTATTGATGAGCCTTCAGATATCTCCACACTGTGGATTGCTGTGGGATGTCTTTCTGTATGCTTTGAATATGTGTGGCTCCCATTGGATAATAAATAAAGCTGTTTTGGCCTATAGCAAGAAAGATTACAGCCAGGCAGGAAATCCAAGCAGAGATAGAGGGAAGGTTGGAAAGGAGAGAGACACTAGATACCGCCAAAGGAGCAACAAGATGTCAGCAGACCTGTAATACCATGGCCTCATGGTAACTTATAGATCTGTAGAAATGGGTTAATTTAAGATGAAAGAGCTAGCTAGCAAGAAGCCAGAGCCATAAGCTATACAGTTTGTAATTAATATAAGCCTCTGAGTGATTATTTTAAAACTCGTTCCGACTGCTACAGTAGATTCTGTGAATAAAGCTTCAGTGAAGATATAAATGTGATTATGACTTCAACATACTGATTTCAATGCATTTGGATATCCATCCAGCAGCAGCATTGCTGGATCACATATGGTAATTCTATTTTTAGCTCTTTGAGGAGTTTTGATGCTATCTTCCAAAAAAGATTACAGCAATTTATATTACCCACAACAAGATATGGTCTTCAGATCATTGCCAACACTTTTTTCCCCCTCATTATTTGATGGAGAGTTGGATGGGTCTCGCTATATAGCTCAAGTCCGTCTCAAACCCATGATCCTCGAGAGACCTAGCCTCCTGAGTCCCAGGAGTATAGGGACCTGCCATCATTCCCACTCCCTTTGTCCTTTCAGGGTGGCCATTCTGACAAGTGCAAAGCAATACCTGACTGTGTTTTTCATTTGTATTTCTCTGACAATCAACTGTGAGCATGTTTTATATAACTTTTATTTATTCTTTGCATGTGCTCTCTCAAGAAATGGACATACACGTCACTTGTCCATTTAAACATTAATTTTTTCACTGGTGTACATGGGGGGTGGGGTATCATGACGTGCTCTAGAGGTAAGAAGAGTTGCGGGAATTGGATTTCTCTTTACCACATGGATTCTGGGGAATCTCAGGTTCTCAGGCTCTGGGGTAGGTGCTAGCTCATCAGCCCCCCTTTGCCCGCTTTTAAATTGAGCTATCTGGTGCCTTGCTATGTAGCTGTGTGCATTCCTTATGTGTAGTTTTTATGTTAGCCTCCTATCAGACCTTTGGTTCACAGGCATTTTTCTCACTGTCTTCTGAGGTCTCACTGTTGCTTCTCTTTTGCCCTGCAGAAGTTCAGTAGTTTGATGTAGTCCTGTTTGATTATTTTGGCTTCTGATATTATAAATCCAAGAAATCATTATCTAGACCAAAGTCATAGGGCTTTTCCTTTTATTTTCTTTTTCAGTTTTACATGTTCAAGTCTGACATATAAGTTATTGATCTATTTTGAACTGAATTGTGAATACAGAGTGAGATAAAGAGTTCCTTTTTTTACTTTCTTCTTGTGAACATCCAGTTTTCTCATTATCATTTATGGACAAGACTTTCCTTTCCCCATTATGTGCTCTTGACTCTTTTGTTGACAATCACTGTTCCTCTTCCCAGTAGACACAAGTGATTTGAAGCGGGAAATGGGGGAAAAGGGAGGAGCTTTCAATAGGGAGATGGAGGGTTCAGCACAGGAGAGAGAAAGAAGAGGATTAAACAACGTGAATGTCAGAGAAAAATCACAAGGGGTCATAGCATCGTCTATCCACCTAAAACTGTATATAAGTCTATATGTAGTTCAATAAAAATGTCCTGCCTGGCCTAACAATGCTTCAGCAATAGGAACTCACCTTCCACCCCAGGGGGCAGTGAAAGGCAACAGCAGCAGCTTAAACTGTTTTGGAATATTTTGGACTACTCAGGCCAACAACAAAAAAATCCCAGTGCCAGGCATGAGAAGCCCCCTTTCCTGTTGTTGGCCCAGGGAATCCAAAATACTCCCAAACAATATAGGCTGCAGCTGTTGCCGTTCGCTGCCCCCTGGGGTGGAAGGTAAGTCCCTACTGCTGTAGACAAGAGGATCTGAGCTGGGTCTGGTATAAAAGACTCCTCCCCGAGGACTAGCTTTCATGGTACCAGAAGGTGCCATGCAAATTCTTAAGGGAAGTGTGCTGGATAGTTTTATGTCCATTTGACACAAGCTCAAGTAATCTGAAACCTCAATTAACAAAATTAATTGGGAACCTCAATTAACAAAACGCCTCTGTAAGATCTATTGTACCCAAGCCCATAGTGCATTTTCTTAATTAGTGATTGATGGGGTAGCACCATGGGTGGTGCCATCCCTGGGCTGGTGGTCCTGGGTTCTATAAGAAAGCAGGCTAAACAAGCCACAGGAAGCAAGACAGTAAGCAGCACCCCTCCATGGCCTCTGCATTAACTTCCGCCTCCAGGTTCCTGCCTGGTTTTGAGTTCCTGTCCTCCTGACTTCCCTCAGTGATAGACTGTTACCTGAAAGTCTAAGCCAAATAAACTCTTTCCTCTCAAAGTTGTTTTGGTCATGGTGTTGCATCAAGGGTAGTAACCAATAGTCCTATGCAGCTATGATACCTATAAGCCTCAACCATTTCCAATGTGGCATGCTATCCCTAAAGGTGCAATGGTGACAGTGATATATTTGTGTTAACTAACAGCGGTCTAGTAGACTTAAGGCCCACTCAAAAGAGAGAAATCATGTCTGCTACTAGAAACCTAGCCAACTACCCAAGGCTGGTAAGGTCATGGATCTTGGAAGAGGCCCCAATACTATCACCACTTTACTAAACCAGCATCATTTCTAAATACATTTTAAATATTTATTCTTTTTTGGTTATTTTCCCTCTTTGTATATTTTTTTAATAATTAATAAATTTTCTATTCATTTTACATGCTAACCACAGATCTCCTCCCCTACCTCCTCTCATAACGAGGATATCCAGAGAATCAGCAGGTCATACTTCAAATACCTGTACTCCACAAAATTGGAAAATCTAAAAGAAATGGACAATTTTCTGGATAGGTACCACATACCAAGTTAAATCAACACCAGATAAGTAATTTAAATAGACCAATAACCCCTAAGGAAATGGAAAAAGTCATTAAAAGTCTCCCAACCAAAAAAAAAATATCCAGGACCAGATGGTTTCAATGATGAATTCTACCAGGTTTTCAAAGAAGAGTTAATACCAATACTCTTCAAATTGTTCCACACAATAGAAACAGAAGGAATGTTACCAAACTCTTTTTGTAAGGCTACAGCTACTCTGATTCCCAAGACACACAAAGATGCAACAAAGAAAGAGAATTACAGACCAATCTCCCTCATGAACATTGATGCAAAAATACTCAATAAAATATTGGCAAACCGAATCCAAGAACACATAAAAAAATTATCCACCATGATCAAGTAGGCTTCATCCCAGAGATGCAAGGCTGGTTCAACATATAAAAATCTGTCAATGTAATACACCATATAAACAAACTGAAAGAAAAAAAAACCCACATGATTATTTCATTAGATGCTAAAAAGGCTTTTGACAACACCCTTCATGATAAAAGTCTCAGAGAGATCAGGAGTACAAGGAACATATCAAAACATAATAAAGTTAATTTACAGCAAGCCAATAGCCAACATCAAATCAAATGGAGAGAAACTCAAAGTGATTACACTAAAATTAGGAACAAGACAAGGCTGTCCACTTTCCCCATACTTATTCAACATAGTACTTGAAGTTTTAGCTAGAGCAATAAGACAGCAAAAGGAGATCAAGGGGATACAAATTAGAAAGGAAGAAGCCAAACTTTAATTATTTGCAGATGATATGATAGTATATATAAGTGACCCCAAAAATTCTACCAGGGAACTCCTACAGCTAATAAACACCTTCTGTAAGGTAGCAGGATACAAGATAAACTAAAAAAATCAGCAGCCCTCCTATATACAGATGATAAACAGACTGAGAAAGAAATCAGAGAAACATCACCCTTTACAATAGCCACAAATAATATAAAATACTGTAGGATAACTCTAACTAAGCAAGTGAAAGACCTGTATCACAAGAACTTTAAGTTTCTGAAGAAAGAAACTGAAGACGATATCAGAAAATGGAAAGATCTCCCATGCTCATGAATAGGTAGGATTAACATAGTAAAAATGGCAATCTTAGCAAAAACAATCTACAGATTCAGTGCAATCCCCATCAGAATCCCAACACAATTCTTCACAGACTGGAAAGAACAGTACTCAACTTCATTTGGAAAAACAGAAAACCAAAAGAATCCTGTACAACAAAGCCACCTCTGGAGGCATCACTATCCCTGACCTCAAGTTCTACTATAGAGCTATAGTAATAAAAACAGCATGGTACTGGCATAAAAACCAACATATGGACCAATGGAATTGAATTGAAGACCCTGACATTAACCCAAACACCTATGAACACCTGATTTTTGACAAATAAGCCAAAACTGTACAATGGGAAAAAAAAGCATCTTCAACAACTGGTGCTGGCATAACTGGATGTCAACATGCAAAAGATTGCAAATAGATCCATATTTATCACCATGCACAAAACTCAAGCCCAAGTGGATCAAAGACCTCAATAAAAAATCAGTTACACTGAACCTGATAGGAAAGGGAGTAGGAAGTAATCTTGAATGCATTGACGCAGGAGACCACTTCCTAAATATAACATCAGTAGCACAGACACTGAGAGCAACAATTAATAAATGGGACCTCCTGAAACTGAGAAGATTCTGTAAGGCAAAGAACACAGTAATGAAGACAAAACAACAGCCTACAGAATGGGAAAAGATCTTCACCAACTCTACATCTGACAGAGAGCTGATCTCCAAAATATATAAAGAATTCAAGAAACAAACAATCCAATTTAAAAAAAATGGGCTATAGAGCTAAACAGAGAATTCTCAAAGGAAGAATTTCAAATGGCCGAAAGACATTTAAGGAATTGCTCAGCATCCTTAGTCATCAGGGAAATGCAAACCAAAGTGACTCTGAGATACCATCTTA